TAATTAATAATTTACTAATCCTAAGTTTAGTTCAAAATAGTTTAATTATTTGAAGAAACTCTTAAAAGTCCAAGAATTTTGAACAACAACAACAACAACAACAACAACAACAACAACAACAACAACAACAACAACAACAACAACAACAACAACAACAACAACAACAACAACAACAAGCATTTATCCCCCCAAGTGGGGATGAATCTTTTTTCTCCATTGCACATAAAAATCTTATAATTTTAAAGTGAAAGGTAAATATTTTTGGGTTTGAGAAAATTTTTCTTTGAATTGGATCTTGTGAAAGTTAAATCGTTCATCCACCAAATCCTGTTCTAATGTGGTTGAAAATCAGAGACAAATATTCCTTACTCTACTCCAAATGTAAGAAACATTCGAGCTTCATATTATAATTGTACGTACTTGTGTTGATCTTACCTATACAATTTATAAAAATATGAGATATATTCTCATCTTTTCAGAGAAAAAAAATAGATCGTCAACCTAAAATCACCGTTAGGTATATTGTGGCTATTAAAAGAGTGGAATGTTATAGGTTTGTGAGGGAAACCATCCCCTTATGGTTGAGATTAAAGTGGTATTGTCACTTTTTGGTGGTCATTTTAAAAATTATGAATGTGAATTTTGTATATGTGTTTTTTGTGGGATTTTTCTCTTATTATATCATGTACATTTATAGACTCCTATAACATTATGATTCATTTTTCTTACTTTATCAAAAATAATTTTACTTGGAAAATTTTAAATAAAATCAACAAAAAAAAATGTTTATTTATTTGTAGTCATTAATTTTGAAGATTCTACAATTCTACAAACAACTAACACTTTATCTCTTTTAAAATATTAGTAATACTAATATTTTTGATATGATCATAAAATAAAAATAATTGAGTGGCAGATATGTAAATATGAAAGTTTAGGCATTAAATATTTGATTACATATAAATTACGAGGCATCTACTTAAATGACCCAAAAATGTATTCTAAGAAATGAGAAAATATATAAGAGAAATAGATGAAGCGTCTACGGTACATTTGATATTGATCAAGAAAAGCTTAAGGCTCTTTGGACATAAAGAGTATATTTGGTATAACAACCCATTCCTGGTGGCGCGGGGACTTGTTATTATTCACAACTGAAGCCATGGAATCAGGAAGGGAAACAAAAGAAGCGATAGCAGATAGCAGAGGACGGTGACTCATTCTTTCTCACAACTGAAACCAAGCAATCAGGAATGGAAGTAGCTTACGTGTCCTCATTACCCTAATTATCGTCCAAATAATTCTGCCTAAAATCATTAATAAATAGCCTCAAAATACAAATATCACATTCAGAATTAATCCTCCTCCACTGATCCATCGCCCTCATAATTCCTTCTCTCACTCCCCGCCGTCAGTCTTCTTTCTCCACTGCTATTCCCACCACCAAACTTCTCCTTCTCCGACTGCTTTCTCCGCTGCAGTTTCCGCCGGACTTCTCATTCCGTCGGACTTCTCCTTTTCCTCCATCTTCTTTCTTCACTGTTGTTCCTGCCGGGCTTCTCGTTCCCGCCGGACTTCTCTTTCTCCGTCTTCTTTTTCCACTCTTCTTAGATACAACAAAGTGATCTTTTTTCCTTTATTTGAAATCAATGCTTCACATTATTTAAAATATTTGATGTAAATTTTGTTTAAATTATGATTTACAGAGACACTGATGGCTCAAGAATACTCCAATTTCGAGTCCCAGTTTGTCCCCTCCTACAAAATATCCCTCCCCTTGGGTAGTTAGAATTTAATTATTATTATTATCCTTTTTTTTAATTTATTTTTCGAATGTGATTTTGCTATCTTGTCATTTATAATCATCTATTTTTGTGAAAGAGATGAAGATACTCCAAAGTGCAAGCGAATAAATAATCTTTCTCTAAACATATTAAAAATTTCGTTATCATTTTTATTGAAATACTTATTTGTTGCAGGATATGTATTGATAATG